TGGATGGGTAGAAAAAGTAGTGGTTGTAGTAGTAACAGGAGTAGCACAGGGGAGAGGAGGACAGGGAACAATTGGTAATGGGGTGTGCAGGTCAGTTGTAAGAGTGGAGTTGAAGTGAGGGGGTTTTCAAAAAACAAAAAAAAAAGACGGAGAGGGGGGACAGAGAAAGGAGAGAGAGAGAAAAGGAAGTAAAAAACAAGGTCAGTATACACAAAGAAATGTAGTGCTTCAGACAGTAGAACTGGCTAAATTAAAATACACTGTCACTATGGGAACACTAGGAGAAAAAAAGAAGAGAAAAAAGATTAACAATGAAATACAGAAAAAGGCAGAGACAATATGTACTTTTACATTACATGCCGTGTTTGTATCAAGTACCTAAAATTACATTCTAAAACAGTCAGAGCTGAATATTAGAGATGCACCGATCGATCTGCGGAAGTCAGAAACGGCTGGGTTTTTAGCATGATCGGCCTTGACCGATCTTTGATTCTGTGCCAGTCAGCTTTAGAAGCATGACAGTCACCGTCACACATACACACGGTGGAACAGGCCCGAAGCGCAGCGGATGCAGTGCGTAGCATCTTGCATGCACCTCAAGCAAGGCTCGCGCTTGTGTCTGTACCGGGCGCATGTTCACTTTCGCTTAATGGAAGCCACTGGTGTACAAAAAATGCAGAGAAGAGCCTTGAGGAACGGGAAACTATGTCCAAATCTCCGACAAATAGTACAGTGAAGGAAATACTGGCTACACTAGATCCATGTATATGTACAGTGTATCCAGCCTGTTGTAAAACGGCAAAAACAAAATACACACACTAAAAAAAGAATTGTGTGCTCAGTAAGAATGATGTAACAAACAAACATTCTTTTGTTTGTTTTACCTATTGCACCTTTACATGTGGAGAACAAATATTGCAACTCATTTTTAGTTAGAGGTAAAAAAAAAAAAAAGTGAGACATTTTTATTACAATTCAAATTTTCAATTAAAGAAAAGGTAGAAAAACATTTTTGTATGCTGTCAATTACAGTTCTTAGAAAGAAAATCGGAATCGGCCGATATTGGAATCCGCAGGTGAGACTTAAAAATTTAAAATCTGGAAATCGGAATCAGTCCGGAAAACTGCATTCAGTGCATCTCTACTGAATATAAGTTATAATAGCCCTAAATACTCAAAGGCTGATCTTTAAGTGTACATGAGTAATGTAATGACTACATAAGTACAGTAAATATGAGTGTGACAAATTCCATATGCTTTTTATACACTATAAAAAGATCTAAATAATGGACATGATGTGTTCCTGTAAAAATACAAATAAAAAGTAATATTGTCTCTCCAACAACTTAAGAATGATTTCAACTAATGGACAAAAATGAAGATATGAAATGGTAAGTTTAAAAAAAAAAAGTAGTTAGTGTTTTGAATAAACTTAAAATTCACAGTGAGCAAAGTGGCAGGTCGGAAATGCAGCAGGTTTGGTCAAACACAGAGAGGTCCTGAAAGAGAAGAGGCTTTGATATGACGACCCCCTTTATTTAACAGTGCTAAAGGTACTCTCCAACTAGTGCAATCACAAGGCCATGGTGCGAGTTTGGGGCCAAAAACACTGGTTTGTCTTAAACAAATGGAATCAGGTCTATGAACCACAGAGTAAATAAAAGACATGTTTTACTGTTGCTCAGCACTGCATTGACAGAGGCAGGATGGAGAGCTGCCCGGTAGAACCATGAGAGAGTCTACTGACCTCAGGATTCAGGTTGCTGACCAACAAGACATTGTGCCCTCCAGTAGCACCAAGGCCAGACAGGCCTAATCGGGTCAAACCCAGCGACGCCAGGGAACTGGGAATACCAGGCATCGACAGTCCTATGAGGAACAAAACATTACATTATTTTCAATTTGTTGTACTTTGTGTCATTACACTGAAGGGATTTGATAAAGAGAAGAGAACAAGTGGGAACTATATTAAGTATGTCATCATTAAGGCAAATTAGATACTGCAGGCAACAGACAAAAGCTTGGAGAAGGGACACATACCTTATTATGTAGGAAACAGCATGGTTGAAAATAGTGGTTCCCAAACTGGCATATTACATCATTCATTATCAAATATTTTTACACTAAAAACAGGGGCCCAACAGGAAAAGTTTGGGAACCACTGGTTGAGACAAAGACTTTGTACTAACCTGCCTGCTGGAAGGCAAAGGTTGGGGGGAAGGCATGAGCTCCACCATAAGGAGAGGCCGAGATTATACCTGGTGCAGCTGGAACAATAGAAAACAAATGAAAATAAGAACAGAGAACCCTACACCAAATATGCACTTGCAGTAATGATTAGGGTAAATAAAAACAAACAAACAAGGAAATCAAATCAGAAAATGTATTTTTAAAAATTACTTCTAAATCTAGGACATGCTTGGTGAAGTAAAACCTAGAAGTGCTACCTGAAGGACACAGAGTGTACATATACATAGGCTTGTTAACATTTGTCAATGTGATCAGAACCCCATGCAAAAACTTCTCAATCTTACCAAATGCTGCCGCCATTGTCTGGTGGTCAATGGAGGACTGTGAGTCAGCAGTGGGGAGGTCTGGTCGGGTGTAGTCCCTGCTCTTGTCGTTGTTGTACTTGACATTGAGGCTGGTGAGCTTGGAGAAGCTGATTCTCAGGGTACAGCAGGCATTGTAGATGTTCTGTCCATCCAGAGACTGAGACAGATGTTGGAGCATTAGGCTTAAGATAATTGTTTCTTTGTGATTATATACACTTGTGAATATTCTGAAGTTTTGTTGCAAAACTGCAGTGTATACAAAAAAAAAAGTAAATTGTAAAAAAAATTAAATAAATAAGACGTGTGTTTCACACTAGTGGTTTTTAACTACAGTACACATTACACTGGAACCACAACAGTTTGTTTTAAATTGTCATGGCCAACCCCAGTGAAAGTGACAAAGCTCCCACTGATCTGTTACCCAGTGGTAACAACCTCACACTGCAACATAATGACAAAGTTGTACCAGTCTTACCAGTTTAGCATGCTGAGCTGTTAAGCCATCTGCGTACTGGATCAGAGCCTGGAACTGGTTGTTCTTAGTGAAAGTGATAATCTTTAGCACAGTTCCGAACTTGGAGAAGATCTGGGGAACAGACACAGTAAAATTAGATATGTCATGACAACACCCGTAACATTTGCATTACAACTGTACTAGAGGCTAAACAAGGCAAATTTGCATGTCTTCTATCGTTACTGACATGCATATTTAGTTTATGCAGCACTCCTACATTTGCAAACTATTTTGCAGAGAATGTTGTGAGTCAGAGACACCACTTCTCAGTAACATAAGAGGAGGAAAGAAGAGACAGGTGCAACCACAATGAAATATCAAAATATATTTATAGTAGGTGAATTGGTAACATCACAAAATGTCAAACTGTTTATAAATTTCAATAATTCAAAAACTGAGTACAACAGAAGACAATCTGGTAAGTCAGCTTTAGTAATTAGGAGAACCCAGCCACTCTAAGGCTTATTTAAAGGCTGGTCCAAAGATTAAAAGGGAACTGCCAAGCAAGTAATTACAAATAATCTGGGAAGCACATGACATATATTGTTGAAACTACAAAAATAAAGATTCTTTTTATGGTCTACAACTACAAACTTTGGTTTTAAACCTGATAAAATATAAAAGGAACCTCTATCAAATGACAGAACTACAAAAGTGATCTGTACCTGGTGAAGGACATCCAGGGTGACAGGGTAGAAGAGGTTTTCCACTATGACTCTGAGTACAGGGCTTTGGGTTGTTGCTCCTCCAATGCTACCTGCATCAGCAGAAATGGCCATGCTTCCCATCCCACCTCCATGCAGTGCATTGACTGCTTGCAGAGCTGCCTGGGCACGCTAAGGGGAAAAGAGAAACTACTTAACATGGATGGACAAAGAAAATGCAACTAGTGAATGTGTGTGATTTTTGTGCAGACCTGACAGTTTTAGCTTGTGTTTCCTTTGGTTTGTCTATACTAGTAACTGATTTAAGGGATTTAACTTGATTCCATCTGTCTAGTCTGACAAAACAGAACCATTGATTTGCACTGTTCAGAGCTGAGATTACAGTTACAAAAAGTACAGCAATAAGTCAGAAATTGGTGGCAGAAATGAACATTAAATTTACATTTCCTGCACACAGCAGGAACTTTGACTTTTAGTATCTTGCAAAGTCTACACCAGAATTTAAACCTCAACTGAAAACAGTCAATATGAAAAACAAGAAAAGTTTATGTGCAAGTGTGACCGCAAGCCCTTACCACTTGGTTGGGGGAGTTATCCGTCTTGAGTTCCTTATGGGTTGAGTACTGCATGTAAATGGGGTGGTTTCTGATGACAGGTGTGACAGAGGAGTAGTAGCTCACCATTGTCTGTGCACACTCCTCACTGTTCAGTTCCAAGAACGCCTGCAGGTTAGAACCAAAGACCATGTTCTGTTTGTTTCTCCCATCACACATGTAACAATGCTAGCCTGAGGTAGCGGCTATTAAAACATTAATCCTAATAATTTTGCACATTTGTTGTAAACCTCTCTCATTAACACCATTATTAGTTTGTACAGTTTGCCTAATTACCTTTTATACCTTTATTGGGTTTGACAGAGTTGCTGATATAGTAAAACAGGGAATAATGAAAACATTGGGATTCACTATCATTCTCCAGGAAGTCTCAGCAAGAAGAACAGTCTTCACTCAGCCATGAAGATGTAACCAAAGTTTCATTGCCATCAATTTCAGGTGAGAACAAAAGGCTAGAAACTTAATACCCTGTGCCAGGCCAGAAGAGAAATTTCATCCAGGAGTGCACACAGTACAAGTTCGGGAAGCAAACCTTACCTGGTTTTTCCCTTTCAGCATCAGCAGATTGGTGACCTTCCCAAAAGGCAGTCCCAGGCCAATAACCTCAGCCTCATTTATGTCGCTGGGCAGTTTGCGTACATGGACCACACGTGACGGAACACCAGGGCTGCGCACGTCACCTTTGAATTTTTTGCTGTCGTTGCCATTGGCTGCAAGAGAAAACAGAGATACAATCAGGGAGGGAACAGAAGGCACTGGTTCTTTGTGAATAATGGATTGATTGTCATGACAACACAAACAATACAGACACGACAAGCACTTCAATAAAAAGGATTCACCCCTCCATGGCAACCCCCCCTACCTGAGTTCATGATATAGGGCCCGTTGGATATGCAGGAAGAAAAGAGTTCGTCGGATCCCCTCTGCAGAAGGAGAGAAAACAATGGTTCACTTCAGTGCATTCACAGATGGGGGCATAGCATGGCAGGTGGAGAGCACAGCTCTCATATTACCAAACCATTGTGTGAAAATGCAGGAAGTAATCCGATAACCAGAAGAGGATCGCACGGACATGCTTGAGAAGTATTCCACCTTCCTCACCTGGAAGAATTCAGTGACCTAGTTTGTCAGCATAGGTATTTGTGTTCTCATCCCATTTTAAACTAACAGTACTGCCAAGTTAAAAGTCACAGGTAGGATTTCTTTCTTACTTAGGGCAATGCGCCATATTATCATGTTTTAATGTCAATCACACACACACAAGGAGGAACAGCTACTATTCAGCTTGAAGCACACAAGTCAGTCAGCACAACCCATCTTCTCATAACTCAATATTAGGACAGATAATACACTGAAGCCCCCTGGACTGGAAGACAAGATGGAAACACTCCTGGCACACAGTATTTTACTGTCTGCTGAAACAGCCTTGCCCAGCCGCTCTGTGTAGTAGATGTAAAGTGCTGTTTCAGAGCTGTCCTCGTGGATGTGTGTGTATGTGCTTGTGCAAAATGAAGTATTGCAGTCACAAGAAGTGGCTCAGCAGCCTAAGCTCTACAATGAAGGTCCTGTTCAGGCTGAGACTAGAGGCATTGTTGCATGGCACGCATACACATAGACATATGGAGCCCTGAGGACTCTGGGGGTCAAAGAGCTGCACAGTGTTTTAACAGCTACCAGTCATGCAGGTTAGCGAGCATTCTTTTCACCTTGTGAATCCTGGCTTTTAAATATGCATGGTGGTGCTCCGGGGGGATTCCAACCAGGCTGCAAGTCTACTCACAAAAGGCATGAATAAAGTGATGCAAGACAGAACACTGGATGCTGCCTCAAAACACTGTAAAGGGGTGGTGAGGGTACTGTTGCTATGACACTATAAACTATCCTTTGACAAAATTGAGACCCACTCAAACAGCCTGCTATCTCAATTCATGAACTTAAAGCAGTAGCAAACAACAATGTTACTATGGCTTTTGGATCAGGGACCTCCTCCTTTGACATAAATGGAATGCTAACATAATGCTTACTAAGACAAAAAACAGACCGGGTCAGACCGTGACAACACTCAAAATAATAACTAGTCCTGGGAACAATCAGATAAAGGGAAAAACTAATCTCTGTAGAAATGTTATGTCAGCATTTTGTCTAAAACTCAGATCTAATGGTAAAACATAGTATACAAAAGGAGGGACACATCAAACATTATAATAAATGGGTGAGAATAGCATGTTCTACTTGGTGGGAAAAGATATTTTTGCTTCATAAATGGGCCAAGGGCAGATGCAAGGCATGAGAAATGAAGTAAGCGGCTCCAGCCTGACTCAGTGGATGTGGGCAGGCAGTGTCACATTATCAGTCAGCAGACCAGCTCCAAACAGGAAGAGCAACAAGATCAGGCCTGTTTCCAGGCTTTGGCTAAACTTCCTCCTGAGGACTGGTGATTGTTGTTCTATGGCAGGACTCTCTCTTTCACCTTACTTCATCATTCTAATAATAACCACAGAGCTACGACAGTGTGCAGTCAGTGCAGGAACATCAAATCGCACACAAAATGGAGGACTGTGTTACAATTGTCTGAAAAAAAAATACCCATAGCTTTAGGGGGGGGAGTACAGAGCAAAACAAAAGAGTTAAACATAGTTTGATAGATGATTCCAACAGAGCACCGAACCCACTACATGTGTACTGACTTGTTCACATCCTTTGTTTGCTCACCCAATTAATAGTATAATAGTAACCTTCAGGAGATGACACATTGCTGGCTGACATACTGAAACTGTTGAGCACTTTCCACTGACAATGGAAGCAACTTAAATTTAATTTTAAAAGGGAACATGTACTGGATGTAATTATCCTGCTCCACACACCGGAAATAAAGAACATTAGGGAAAACATTAAGATCTTACAAGAAAACAAAATTATCTTGCACTTGTCTTTTCTGACTGGGTTTTACCAATGTTGTTTGAGTATTGATAGAAATAAAGAGTGGATAAATATTAAGTGCTGAGGCAGCATGCAAGTGGTTTCTCAACATTCCAGTAATGCAAACAGGCTATAAAGGAACACTGAAACAGAAACTGCCTGCAAGCAGCCACATTTTGGACATTGCCGGGGGATGGGTAATAAGCACAAAGGAGAGGAACACAGGTACAGACATGTTTGTTCACTGTGATCAGCTTTCCCCAGTAAAGAGAACAGGGAGCTGTACCTCACCAGGGGACTGGAGGGGGGAGACTGGAATGCGACCGCGGAATGCCAGACACTATGCCCAGACGGAATAATTAGGGATTCCAGCAGGGCAGCGCTCCATTACTCAGTATCATCAGATTTTTTTTAACACTGTATCTTCAATCCAGAAAACTGGACAGGTAGAAAAAGAAAGAAGTATTGATCAGCACCAATTCAATGGTATGCTATAGATCACTCTTAAAACAAACGGAGTGAATATAGGGGGTGGGTTGTGTCTCTGTCACGGATGTGTGTATCAGAGTGCTTGCTTAAACTGTAATGACCTTTGGCCAGGAGGATGAGAATGGTTGTAGCTCCAAGATGAGTTCAGTTACTCCACCCATACATAGCTGCCCCAGGACATGTTACCAAGGATTGCTTGATAGGCGGGTATTTTTATTGAGAGAACAAATGAACAACCAGCAGCGTGACGACAAAAAAAAAAAAAAAAAAAAAAAAAAAGTGCTCATTTTCCAACAAATTTACACACACAATTCTTTTTAGTCACACTGCAAATAATAAGAGCTGATTCACGCAAAAAAAGATTTAACACTGGGCAATATTTTGGCAATTGGTTTTACTCTCACTGGTTAAGTATTGACAGAACGTGAGTGGATGTGCATCAAGAGCTGAGACAGCATTCAGCTGCTTTATTAGCATTCCAGTAAGGCAAACAGGCTATTAAGGAACACACAAAACAAACAACAGGAAGTTTCAATTCCCAACAGCCACACAAACCAACTGAAACAAGACAGGAAAGCTTAAGCCCCACCATAGATAATCTATTATAATGGAATTATCATATATATTCCATGAACAGAGTCTTGAGAATTCTTACAACCTCTCTGAGAAGATTATTTGGTTGTCTTTTATAAATCTTTAAAAGAAAAGCAATCCTGCAGCTGCACACCCATTACACAAGAAAAATGGCTTTCGACAGCAGTTCTGTAATTATAGAGGAAACTCTTGCAAACTGCCAATGTGCCTCAAGTCCCCCGTGTTGGCATAGTTCTTTTCTACTCTGACTTCTAAAAGGTTTCTCAGATGTCAAAGATATTTTGATGAATAAGACAATTCCAATTAAAGCACAGAAGTACAAATAAGGGTGTATATATATATATATGTGATAAAATAGGAGCCCTGCTTGTGATACAAAACTTAACGGAACTTGAAACTGGCATACAATTCAGCAGCTACCACAATCAGTACTACTTGCATAACAACTGGAACATGTCATGTTAAGAATTTAACATGACAACTCAAAGATTTTCAGCACAGAAATGATAGAAAGTGAAAAGAAAATAATGCCTACCTTTGTGCCAACTGATATGTCATGGACACTGCTGCGAAGGAGAAAAAGATTTTAAAAGACAGGAAAACAATCTATTGCAATGTATTATGATATCCTGTTTAAAAGTTCAACACAATAACATGGCTAAATAAAAACTGCACGTTCATGCAAAATAAAATAAAAAGTATTGCACAACCCAAAGGAAACAGACTTCCTCATTCAGAGACAGTTACATCGTGACGCTTGAAAGTCAGAAAGCACCACAAACCTAAATAATGTCAAAATGAAATCGACCGTGCAAAAACAATAAACAAAAAAAATACTTACTCGATTTCAGGGACGTAGCCGGATCCCAGAGGGTACAAGTCAGCGTCTAGGCGGCTGGAGAAGGTTGGCAAAAAAATAAAAGTAAACTTCAGAGTGGACAGTTTGCATAAATAACTACAATGAAGCGAATATCTAATACCACATTTAGCTAAGTTAAGCGTAATGCCGGGCGAGTTCAAGCCACCATTCACAGTTTTCCGAAGTCCTTTGAATTGTCAAATTCAGGTGGTCAAAAGATTAGAATACAGTCCTGAGATACGATACGCTATTGTGTACCATAAGTACATTAGATAACCCGAGACAGACGTCCCCGATTCAGTCAACATGAAATATTCAGGCCAGGTATCTTCAACATGGCCCTGGCACTCCGCACACAAATGAATGCGGAAATGAGACACGTTGCTTTAGCTAGCGCTCGAGTTCCCACGAAACCAAGTTACCAAGGTACAGTTAGCCAATGTTAACTAATGTCTAAGTTAGCAAACGGTAGACTGTTCCCAATTTGTTCATAAAACGAAAAACATTGTCCACATCTAAACTCTTATTAAATTAAGTTTCCTAAGCGTTAGTGTTGTTTACACAAAACGATAAAATAGGTCCGTTAAAATGACCAACATAACTAACGTTCGTTAGCTAGCGATGGCTAGCAGTTGCTAGTTAGCCTACGCTCTTGCTAACTGTTGCATGCTTTGATGAAAAACTGCTTCAAGTAAACTTTCGCGGTCTAACGAATAACATAAGCAGCCATCGGAACCAGACAACTTTAAGAAGCAACTAATATATAAATACAAGTCAATCAGCGCTCAGTTTGTCCTAAAAAATAAGTCTTAAGCGTGGTTCTTTTTTACGTACCCGTCCATTGCACAAGAAAAAACGGCAGGTCTAAGGGGAAGGTAGGGCGGCAGACTTGCTTGATTTTCTTACAAAATGGCTGAACACACGGAGGCGAGCGCTGATTAGTCCAGGCACTTCCAAGAGCCAAAACCGGGCGTGGACATGTTTCTATTGGCGTCGCGATTGGATAAGACCTCTATCATTTTGTGGTAGAAGAAGGCCGCGGCAATTTTCCAGTACATCATACCATGTAATTAGGTGTGATAAGAGTTTTATGAGATGATGGATATCTTACTCTTTGCTGTGATCGTCATTTGACCTGTCTTCTATGATAGTTTTATGTGGTTTAGTTCTTAATATTTGTTGTGTTCTGATGTCTTGTGGGTTATGTTATATGATTTTAGTGTTGTTATTGTTAAGCAAATATTAAGAGTAATACAAGTGTAAAGGAGCAATATTTGCCTAAGAAATCTAGTGGACTTAAATCATAAAGTAGGCCATCTTAAAATGTAAGCTTAATTGATTTCACCACTGCAAATCACAGGAGGTCACAAAAGGATTGGGAGAGTTCTTTAGCCCACACAGGTCAATTTTAGAATATCCAGCTGTCGGAAGTCAAAGGCAGAAAATACACAAGTGTTTTAAATTTGTCATAGTCTCACAGGCCATAACCTCAATTTCAACAATATAGATCTAAACTGACTGTAGAAATTCAAAGATCATACCCGTATGCAGGACTGAACAAAGTTTTACTGACCAACACTTTGAGGGGCAATTCAAATTCATGGTTGGTTTGAAATATTCAGTGTCATTCACTCAGTGTTATACGTTATATAACAGCAGAACTGGTTTAGGTGGGGAACAACACAATGAAGATGGTAATTGCCCTGATACTCCTGTTTGTCAGCACAGCAAGTATCACTGTCAAAAAAAACTGTAACATATGCTGTTTGGAAAATTCAATACACATTGTATTGAATGTATGGTAATAATTGCCTGGCTTTAATATACTGCCCATGCTGTTGTGGAATACTGCATAGGTATAATAAAGAAAAAATACTAAAACAATCCATTTACAATTTCCATCTCATTAAGTTAAGCTCAGGTTAATACCCATACATGTGTTGGTGGTAAAATGTCAGAAGTAGGCATTAGGATGACAGTGATACAGGTTGATAAATACAGCAGCTGGTAGTAGTGGGAAAAGGTATAAGGCCCAGAATGTCACAAGTATAACATTATGGAGCATACACAGTTCTGTTACACCACTTAATCTTCTTCTTGTTTTGGCTGTTCTTGTTAGGGGTCGTCACAGCGAATCATCTGTTTCCACCTAGCTCTATCCTCAGCATCCTCTACTCTCACCCCAATTAACTTCATGTCCTCTTTTAGCACATCCATATATCTCCTCTTTGGCCTTCCTCTTGACCTCTTGCCTGGCAGCTCCATCTGCAACATCCTTCTACCAATATAACCACTATCCCTCCTCTGCACATGTCCTCCATGTTACACCACTTAATGTAGTAGCCTAAATACCCAATGGGGCATATGCAATGAGTAATTCACCATAACCAGTTAAGCACACATTATTAAAAAGTGACTAGCACGATTATAGAAAGAAAGCAAAATTAACAAAGAGAATTCTTTAATTAATACAGTTGCTGGACATCTCAGTTTGCACAATAGCTTTGGGAAATAAAGAATTGACTGATAGGGTGTGTTGAAAATATATGGTTGAGGAATAACAAATGGCTCCATAAAGTGGCTAATGGCAGCAATATAAAATGGAAAACTGTCACACTGAATACAAGGTGCATGTCCATTCTGGAAAATGTGAGCGATGGATGGCAGCTGGTACTGAAACACTGATGCACCACCACAGACTACATGTTGATTTCATAGTTTCCAAAAGTTATGTTAATGTGAATGAGGTTGGATTACAAAAAAAGGGAGTTTTATTACTTCATTACATTAGTGATTTTTATTTAACAAACATGACATTGGAAAGGTAATTACGGCTAATTACTGGTACTTGTTACCATATCAGCAATTAGATTTCACTTTTCCTTCATAGGGCTGATTGGGATGATTTATGTCTACCATCTTTCAAAACAAATCTGTTGGGACTTATCTCAGAAATAGAATTTTCATTTTTCCTTTCAAATTCATTTGAAAAGAACTCTTCCATTTCCTTCCCATTTTTAAATATGACCTAAAAACAACAAACAGTATATGCATTCTCTGTTCCATGAAGTGGAACCGTTATGCTACTTAAGCTGAATGGTAATATGAGCACAGAGAATGTGCTTACAAATGGAAAATGCCACATTCAGACAGTGTCCAAAAGATTTTTTAAGTTATCAGACCGACTGCTGCTGCAGCATGGGGGAATGAAATTTTGTGTGAATAGTACATGCCTCTACCTCTTTGCCTCCCTAATTCACCTTTTTTCTTAGACAAGCCTTATAGTTTATTTGAGATAGTGTAACATGACCAACTTCAGAACAGTAGACGAATGCTCTCTAGTGGCATGTTCTGGCAAGTGCAAAATACTCAAGCCAACTGATGTGTCTTGCATGCTGAAATCCCATATATACTTCATATGCTACTGCTTAAATGACCCCCTGTGCTTCCCTGTTTTATGTTTTCATCTGGTCCTTTCAAACCACAACTCTTACCTTAGTGTTCTACTTTATTACTTCTTAAATGAGGAGTATTGACTTGTATGTTATTTTTTTTACTAGCCAATTAGCCCTATAACAAACGGATGGTTTATCCTTGTATAATTCTGTGTTCATTTCCCAGAAGGGTGTCCTGTACCCATCTGTGACTCCATCAGCTAAGATGCCAAAACCACACACATCATTAGCTGTGGCTTATGTGTTCTGTTCTGTCTACAGTGTGCGTACATTTGTTTAATTACGTACACAATTATCTGGCTTGCTGTAAACAAACAGTAGTTTTATTCAGGATTGAACATTTAGACGACCACAGAATAGATGAACAGGCATTGGTCTATCACAAAGTTGCTTTTCTGCTGCTGTCCCAGAGACCCACTATTAAGCGAAGCTTTAGGCTAAAGATACGTGTTTTTATGTGTATATCTAGTTATATATGCATATTCCTAAAGATATGCACATATATTTATGTGTATACAGCCTATATATGTATAGACTGTCAGTTGGTTTCTTGTTAAAGTTTGTATCTCCTAAAATGTGTTATAAACATTGTGTGGTTGGATTTTGATAAGTGTTTAGAGTAAAAAAAAACAAAAAAAAACACGTTAGTTAAAACCAATCAAACAATTTTAAAATGTTAAAATAGGGTAGAGGATACAAAGTTTTTTTTTCAAGATACCAACAGTAGTCTGCATATCACCTATCATCTGAGCTGCATTTATTTATAGCTATTGTATGAAAAATGAAGGCAGTGTCCTCTTTTTGTAGTGGCCCTCCAGAGTAGAAGGCAGTATTTCCAGTGGGTCATCATGACCAGAAGCAGAGCAAGGACAACACTGGTCTGAAAATGGTGGCAGACACACAAGTCGAATTAACTGATCCTGACAAAGGCACCAACAATACACAGATGTAGTCATCTATTTTTAAAAAAAAAATACACACATCAAATACAATATACTGCCTTGCAAAGAGGTCATAGGAAACAAAAAGTGGGTTAATATCAGAAAGTTGCAAGTTGTACAATTACAGTGAAACTGTACATATGGAAAACAGAGTATATTTCATCTGCCCACATCTGTTGACCTCCCTTAGGAATGTTAAAAGGGATCATTTCTCTGTTGGTAAACGTAGGCAGGACTTGAGAGAATGCATCTGGCACTGGAAGTTGCAAAAAACACCTATTCATCAAGTGTTTGCAGGAGGCAGTAGATTAACACAATCCCCCTCACTAGCGAGTTGAATAAGACAGAGGGAACAAGCTGAACAATAGTTGGTGAATAGCGAGCGTTAGACGAGACTCAGGATTAGCACCAACTTCAGAGGTTTTTGAACTGCATGTCTCCGAGCACAGAAGGCGGGGCTGTGTGTTTCTGACACTGAGAAGTGAGATAATGATAATGGTGATAATGTGCAGGTGAATCTGAGACATGGATCAGCCTAAGGGGAGCAGAAGCACTGACTCAGACCATCCATAGCCTCTGTTGTCTGCCAAACAAATGAGGTGACTAGGGCCAAAATGTATTTCAATAGGCTTTCAGAGCTTGGAACTGCAATGTGTATATGCACCATTTATCTTGCTAGCAACCTGCACAGTTTAAAACGAATTGTCTTGCTTACAGATAATAGGCTATTTCTAATACAAAAATTACAAGTGCTTGGGTACCTGTGTGCACTGTTCAATTCCTTATACTATATTATTGGGCCCAAACATTTAAAGGTTGTATTCAATTGCCTCAAATCTTTTTATTTTTCTGTAAATCTATTAAAGTACTATTGGGCCCAGGTCTACATACAAATTGTCAGGGGTTAAACTGGGAGCAAGCGGCACAGAAACCAGCAGCTGACCAACACACAGTGACTCATCACATTTTATTTGGTTCATAGAGACAGAAAGCGTTTTTTTTTTGTTTTTTTTTTTTTTTATATGGTGAGTTGAGCAAGCCCACCTCTTCTGATTATGGTAGAACGAATCCCAATTTAACCCCTGGATTTACATTCATGTGAATATGATAACATACTCTATAATAAAGACAAGTGAAAAGAAAAAAGTTGCAAGGCTTCATGCAGTGCTACCTCATGAGATTTACAGATTCTACTGTTGAGAGAAGAAAATATTTAAGCATTATTAATCACTGTGCAGAGGTTTTTCATGACTCTACCGGTCATAAAGTGAATGTATCCATCTTATTTAAAAATACAAAAGCTGTGATCTTCATGTACATGTGTCACATAGAGTAAATATGAGAAGCTAATGTTTGCAACGTGGTCAGTATTCTCATTTGCCTTTTTGTCTCTGTGCTGTAGATTTCTTTAAAACTTAATCTCTAACACTTCAACTGCGTTTGTTACTGATAGAAAGATGCGTGACTGAAGACATGAGCACGTGAGTCTACGAAAACACAGACACTAATGATTGTAATCTGATAGTACTTACAAGCTTACATGCAGTTAATGGTTAGAGATGAGACAGAGAAGCGAAAACAATAAATACATTGTATAAAACATAATTTCATATCAATATATTAAAATACTATTTAAAATAATATCTTAGACAATATTGCAATATGAAATTGACAGATAAATAGTTGGTAAGCCTACACAGAGAAATATATATATTTACGTATCTGTGTCCTTCATAGTTTGCTGTTTTGACTTAAATGATTTAAAGTTTCCAGATTTCCCCCAGCGGATAGCAGTACAATTCAGAGAGCATGTTTTTTTTTTCCAACAATGATAACAATGAACTTACAGTACACAGTCCCATAATAAAGATATACATACTGAATACAATATAAATGTCAAGACAGAAAAATAGAAAAATATCAATAGAAACAAAAGTCAAATACATATCAGAGAAAGTATACAGAGCAAAGTGTACTTACGAGTCTTTGTGGTTCTTGCTGTTGTTGCTGGAGCTTGTTTTGGCTCTCATTATTGGTATATTGGCTGTATAACTGTATTTTAGCTTTTTTTTTTTTTTTTCTAGACCTGGCACACACACACACACACACACACACACACACACACTCGCTTCCAAATGCAGCCACACAGACACAAAGTTAAACACATCTGCAAATACAGACACATGCAATGGCACGCATGCCTGCACAGGTGCAGGTGTGTACACACACAGCTCACATGATCGTGCAGCATTTGCAGATCTGTTTCTTCTCCTTGTCTCCCCCCTCCCCGCCTCCGTTTGCCTTTTCTTTATCCACCATGCTCCCATTGGGTGGAGCCTGCTCGTCTGTGGCAGCCTCTCCTCCTGCTTTCCCCTCCCCATCCTCTATAACAACAAACTCAGCCTTAACGTTGCCATCCACCCCTTCCATTCCCAGGGCCGTGCGGGTCTCCTGCTCCTCTTCTACGGTCTTATAGCCCATGAACACCAGGGTGACGGGGTTGTCTGCACTAGCTTTGTCAGGACTGGGACCCAGCAGTTTGGCCTCGATCCCTGTCACCTCCCTCTTGGGGGTCTGACCAGAGGTCTGCAGTACTCCGTTTTCACCTATAGGGGGCACCAGAGTATCATTGAGAGGGTAGGAGGGTGCAAAAGCAAAGAGGGTGGTCAGGGTAAGTCAGAGAGACAAAGGCAGGGAGGAAATATTGTTTTAATGACCTCCGGCGGAGAGAAACATTTTAATAGAGCAAATGAAGAGGACTTATAAGCTCACTTTCTCTTTTTGACACAGTTGTTCAGGCTGTGTTAGCATGGTTTTCTTCACGATCATACTGTGTTGCCATGGTTACCAAACTTACCTCCATTTTCTTTGGCTACACCCTTATTGGCTGGCATGCCTGTCTCCAATTCTTCAATCTCTTGCTCCAGCCTGACTCAGGAACACACACACACACACACAAAGTTATCCACATTACTATGTAACTCATTTACTCACAACATTATACCAATGGCGAGCAATACTTTTCTATAGAGGACAACATCAGAAATCTGACACAGCGTCAGGGGCCCCACCCATGCAGTTAAAAAAATCCCTTGAGTGCTTTGAAATGGGAGATATGAGGTTCTACGTGTAATATCTGTTTACAAGAACAAGTCAAGCAGAATGTGATTACTCAGTTGATTACACCAAAAGTGTGTGAGCCACTACGCTTCCTGTAATCCTGTTTTGCCAACATACTCATTCATGGAAATACATTTTTTTGAACAAAAAACATGTAGAGAATACATATACAAGGGTATTTAGAGGTACAGTTAATCCTGCTACAGTCACTTAGTTGCTGGACTTTAAGTGTCATTTTCCAACCCACTCATTTTAAGATAAACATTTCAAAAAATATTAGAATGCACAAAAAATACAATTTGCTGGGTTTTGTCACTCCAACATGTGCAAACTGGGATCAGGTTTTGTTTATCAGGTTCAAACACCACATAAATAAGTAAACTTCAATGTTTAGGTGGTCAAAATATCTAATTGAAGCTGCACGTCTTGAGATTTGTCTCAGTCTGGATACTTACTTCACTTGTAATGTAACACATAAGCTTCACATGCCATCAAAAGCAAAATCAGCCCTGTTAGCTGATTCTGGCAGCAGTATAAAACATAACTGCAGAAATTAGGCACCTCTGTCTTCAGTGTTTCTAATGTGAGACAGGAGTTCTGCTCAAGCTGTTGCTTAAAGAGAGAATACAGTTGCTTTCTTACAGGTTTCTACTATAGCATAAATAATGCACCACCAAAGAGCACATGTATGCATGCCTACATTTTCACCATATTAACCACACATATTTGACTAGGCTAACCTGAAGATGACTTGCTCCAGAAGTTTGGTCTTCACTTCATCCTCCTGCAGACGCTTCTGAGTCTCCTCTTCCGCTGGAGCTCCATCTAACAACCAGCGTTCCCTCAGAGCCTTCGACTGCAAGCGGCCATAAACAGATGATAATATAGATGTGCTTATATCATCAGGAGCAGTTGATTAAGTCATTAGCAGAATTTCATTCTCTCACAGTGTTATCAGTCATTCTCACTTGTACATCAGTGTAATTTCTTTCAAAAGAGTAACACTTTAATCTACATGTATCAGTGAGTGTGTCCAGCACTTCTCTGCTGAATGTGGCCACTCACTGATTCTGTCAAACACTTCAACTGCTGCCAACTTGTTGTTGCCAAGTGGACTATGGCTCTAAGCCAAAGCGTCAAGGCTTCTGGTGTTAAACTGAAAAAAGCCAAACTATGATATAATTACGCTCAACTGGACATGGTACTGAAAGCATAGATAAGCCACTGAGTAATAAAAACAAACTAGCTCTAATCTTAAGCCATATCAAACATTTCCTGGAACTTGACAATGACTCTAAGAATATCTTTTGGACACATTACAAGCAAAGACTGACTGATTGTAAACTGTTAGCTTCTTATAATTACTGTAGATAAAGTGAATTCTAGGAGAAAATGATTAAATATCTCCACATATTAATTAAAACAAACAACATGGGAATACAATGTAGATGCCTGGTTCCAAAGTGGATTTTTTTCACTTTCTTATTCTCTTACTTTGCACTTCTTTATCTCTTTTTCCAATAAATGTGTAATTCCTCTATCAGGTTCCAAACAGCCCTGTTATCCTTATCTTTACTCCCCATTCCCTCCTGTAGATAGGCTGAAAGCAAATACTTGGCATGCTTTGACATAAATATAACAGTGTGTCTTACTCGCAGCTGTTAGACTATGCAGTGAAAGACATCCCTGCCATATGAAAATGTGTGAGAGAAAGCACTTGTTTTCATGAGCTGGACCAAAAATCTGGACCGGTGCTGGTGAATTCCTCTCCTGTGATGCAACAAATTTTGACAGAAAAACTTCCTCCTATTTTGTTCTTCTCTGACTCAACCCCCACCCCTGTCTCCCTCTTGTATGCATTTCTATCCCACATCAAGTTCATAACCTTAAAAAGGTTGTAAATGTCACGGTGTATCTCTCTCAGTTTCTATTTGTGTTTATCTGCTACAGTGCCTGTTGTTGTGTTTCAACCCTTAACATTCTCCATTGAGTAATTTAGCTCCAGAGCAGCAGAAACTCACACGGTGTAATTCAACACTCTTCATACCCCAGCCCAGCACGGTCTCTTGGGCACTGAATCTAACACAGCTGTCTACTCTCGCAATCGTGCTCACTCTCTCGCCACACCCTACTACACCAATGCCTGACATCACTTTATGTTCTTACTAATGTGTGCACGTTTGCGTGCGCGCGTGCGCACACACAGACACACACACACACAGACACAGGCCTGCACAGATAGTTATAAAGCTGGAGGGCCGAAGTTATGTCTCTCTCTCTCTCCATTGTTTTTTGGAGTGAAAACTGCTAACACTGCAGACAAAGGGTGGAAATGTGATACAGACACACACACACACACACACACACACACACACACACACACACACACACACACACACACCCACACACACTCTACACATCCAAATGTTCTGAACAGCTGGAGTGCGATGATGTGACATTCCAAAACTCTTTTTTTAAAAGAAAGTTTATTCAGTACATATAAATCTTATCATTTTGTCAACCGCCACACTTAAAATGCATTTCAAAAAGTTTTTAAGAAGCTGTTTCCCCCTGTTTCCAGTGGTTGTGCTAACCTGCTGCTGGCTCCAGGTACAGATATGAGAGTGGTATAGATCTTATTAACTATCATTGAGAAAGCTAATAAGCATAATCTTAAAATGTCAAACCAACCCTTTAGCAACTTTTCACTCAAGTGTTTCATTTTGGAACATTGCTCCTCCTTATGTTCCACTATCAACTGTGTGTTTTAATGGTAATGGATAACACAGCAGCATGCCAACATTCAGATTGTAATTAAAGGGCTTGCTGACTGCTACTCACAAAAATCATATCTGCCATGCTAATTAAAAACAGAACTCCAATTAATGCTTTCTGTGTTATTACCTCATCATACCTACTGTGCGAGTGTGAATCTGTGTGTACATACTATCCTGTATTAGTGTGACTGCATTTAAAACTGTGGTGTGTAAACTGAAACATGTATTGTGTTTTCTACATGAACACTGTGTCTGGAAAAGAAATATTTGGTGTGGTTTGCACAAAATGCTCCTGTCCACCATGATTACACTTCCCCTCTGTGTGTCTGTGTGTCAGACGAAAGCGGGGTGCGGTGGGTGTAAGAACTGTTTCCTGTTGGTGGGAGTGGGACAAAAATCTGTTTCCTCTGCCAAAGTCCTCTGCATTGTCTGAGGCTTCTGTGTTGTTTTATGAAGCAACACACACAAAAACAATCACACACACACAAACACACATACAGATACACACTTAAAAAGGTTTGCTCTGAAAATAGAAGAAGTGGCACATGTAAGGGCACCGGCATAGGTCAGAGGCGCTTTTGCCGCCAACGCACATGTCTGCGCAGGCGCATATACGCTCCATGACCTTCGCTCTTATCTGCGACCTCCTGAATTGTCCAGGGCTGAAATAGCTTTGATAGCACTGACACATACACCGACAAAAGCCTCGGCTCTGATATAACAAGTGTGTGTCCGCATGCATGCAGATTTGACTGTGTGTTTTAGGGAGCGTGTATAAACAGTATGTGGAGGAGGTGCTGGTGTTATCGCTGCCCATTCTTAACATTCCGTGACAGCAACACTAAGGGAGGATCTCGTTCTGTTGGGCTGATATTTTTGAAAGGAACCACTGAGTTTAATATTATTGTGTGCTTGTTGAACACCGCTCACTTGGAGGGCATGGCTTCTGAAAACACAGGACCATCGGCTTGTTTTTAACTATGGTAAGGGTTAGGGAGAGTCTTGAACTGGTTCAGTTTTATTCATTAACACATTAACCTTCTGTAAAAAAAAGAAAAACCTGGGGGTGATATTTGACAATGGTGTAAAATCTGAGAATCTAACTCATTAACTCAGTGGTGAAAGCAAGCTCTTTTCTAAAATGAAACCATTTCTCTCTTTTCATGAAAAGGCAGTTCATGTTTTTCAGTTCTCATTTAGATTACTGCAGTGCTTATATGTTTTATGTTATATTGTTTATATATTTAATTGTGAAGTACTTTGGTCAACATGCTGTTGTTTTTTAAATTACTATATAAATACATTTTGACATGATTTAATTTGATTAATGTTATAGTCAGCCCTGTAATAGACCAGCAACCTGTCTAGGCTGTACATCACCTCTCGTCCAATGTCAGCCGGAAGTAAACTCAAAGTACAAATAGAGCATGTACACAATGCCTATGTACGTGGAAGTGAGTATGCGTTATACCTTGAGATGCTGCAGTTGCCGTCGGTCATCATCCAGCTGCCTCCTCTTGTTTTCAATCTCTGTCTGCTTCTTCCTTTTCTCCTGTAACCACACATAAACATTTTGATTTCTCTGTATTCATGCCACATCCAAAGCAGACACAGTACTAAGTGTTTCTGTTGTAGTATGGCATCAATAAGGCTGGGTACTAAAGGTATTACTAGAGCTCAGGAGGCCATCAATGTCAAAGCATCTTGAATAATACCCAGGCTGAGTCTTTAATGTGAGTGCTGATGATTTATGTGCACTGTGTGTAAGTCAATGTCATTACACATGCAAGACAAAGACAGAAAGAGACAGATTATGGTGTACAGTTGCAGTATGTGCTGTATATTCATAGGCATATTTTATCCCAATCAAAATTCTAGTGAATTTCAGGACATTGTTTGAAATGTTGATGAGGAATCAAAGTGATTTTGAAGATGGCGCTGCTGTCCTACCATTGATATTAACACTTAATCAACAAGTTAATTATTACATTCATTTAGTACCTTTTACACAAGCCTTTAGTGTTGAGAAATGTTTTAAAGATTCCACATTTCAGGATGTTCAGATAAATTACTGAATGGCCGTGCAATATCTGTCAGTTATTGGGTTGTGAATCTAACGTGTTTGAGCCGCTGTCTGCCACAAGTTGTAAAGAGTTGGTAAAGAAATCTGCTTCTAATTTGAAATATCACAATATAGATAACTGTCCTAGACAAAGAACTAGATAAATAATACAGAAAAAGAAGATAAAACGGGCTGAAGGATAAAAGCCCAAGAGACACACAAAGACTGACAGAAAAAGGCAGCTGTAGCTTTTGCATTAGCTTTCCATGTCCTGTAATAGGAAAAGGAGATGGGATCTAAAAGGTTGAGTCATTAAGGCAGGCGGTCAGATCCTGACAAGAAGCAATGATTTGTTCTTTCTACAGCCATCAGTGTGCCCTGATGTGCACTCTCGCTCTGGGTGTGTGTTTGGTGGGTATAGAAATAACTTACAGCGATGGCCTGGAGTCTCTCCTCTTGTGACACCTCAGCCATCCTGATAGAGAGAGACGGATTGAGAGAGAGGCAGAGACAGAGTTACATCCACACATGACATTACACATTAGAAACTGTCACAACCAACTTTCCTTGACTGTAGCATTCACTCACTAGCCATTCACCTTCCAAAGAGTTTCCAGTGACTGAGGTTAAATATCTGTCTCTTTGGACTAAATCAGTGTCTCTTTCCAGTCGGGAAGAGTCAGTGAAAGTATGGTAATGTGTTAGCAGGGTGCTGCTGGAGATTCCTGCTCTAATAGGTTCCAGACCAGAGCACCAGGATGGAGGACGGAGCTGAAGCCCAGGGGGAAGGACTGTGACTGCTTGTTGACTGAGATGGGACAAAGCTCACACTGTCATGCTCCCAAAAAAAAGTCCAAGATCTTTATCTCGTCTGAGCAGAAAACTGATGATCCCAAGTTAAACATCAGTCATAAAAAGGGAAGAAAAATATTTAGATATTAAAGATTATTTTAGCTGAATATATAAAATACTAAGAGGGATGCTGACCAATTCAGAGTTGGGTTGTGTGAGGATGTAAATAGAAAGGCTTGACTTTTATTTTAATTTTGAAGGAGGACATTTACAACTGAAGTAACAGTCTTCAACAATGAGAATTGTTTGTGTTTAACTGGATGCTGTGAGCGTAACACACTGTATGCCCTCCTCTCCCCACTGAACATGAAATGCATTAGCTGACAAAAATATTTTTCATTGCCATTTTTAGTTACACTAGATGTTTTATTTTCATCAGTATAAGTGTGCTGACACTTAAAAAAGTTATTTTCACCTTTTTTACTTCAACTCGTATTCTGTGCTTGAACAAAACTCAATCTGCACAAATTCTTATGCTGATATCAACATTACAGCTAAAACATTTAGTTGATTAATCTATTAGTTGACTGTTGATATTTGTTTTCAAGCCCAAATGTTAAACATTTTCTAATTTTAGCTTCTTTAAATCACTGTAAACTGATTATCTTTGGGTTTTGGACTGTCCGTTGGGCAAAACAAGGTACTCTTGGAATTTGTGATGGGCATTTTTCACTATTTGCTTATGTTTAAACAAAACAATTAGTTATTCTAGAATAAAAAATGCTGATTAATCAGTAATGACTATAATTGCAGTCCTTATAACAATGTTTTTTGACTTTGGAAAACGTTTCAAAATAGGGATGACCTGTCCCTGTCGCCGCATATAATTACATCTTTACACAGATATAATAACAAGAACCTGTGGAAACCTTATAGTCTTGTTTGGATGACAAGCAACATGTCCATTAAATTAAGGCACTTACTCTGTATAAATTGAATGACTTATAAACTCCCAGAGGTGGAGAGAATGTCTCCAGTTGCTTATGAGTGTATAAAAATAGCTTACAAAAAGATTCAGGACAGTGTATGTGGCAAAAAAGTATCCACAAATTCTTAGCAGCAGTTCTTTTCTAGCCCAAACCAAAACTGTATCACAACACATGGTCCAAACTAAACTCTTACAAAAGAACTATAACAAAGCATGTCTATATCATTGTGCACCCACCCCTCTCCAGTGTCAATAAAACTGTTAATACTGTTTGATTGTGTCACTCATTCTGATGGGAAGCCACTGTTACCATTTGATTTTGCTTACATAATTTCCCAGCTAAGCACTTACAAAGCCTGGACTGTGAGAGAAAACTGCGCATATGAATAGATCACATCCCTCCTAACTTGCCTTTGCTGCAGGGGTGGTCTGATTGCTACACTTTTTATATCCCACATAAAGGCATACAATGAAACAACAGTGGCCCTTCTCAAAACATAAAGATTCATATGTTTTCTTTTATGCTTGTTGGCTCACTGTCCAATAAATGAGGTCGTAGGCCTTCAGAAAACCTCAAGGAAGGACAAGGACATACTGTAGCATGCAGGGTTCACATGCACATTTCTTGCTTTTGTACATGTGCACACACCATGCTGCTCTCAGCCCTATCGCCAACCCATGTGTCCATCACATGGAGAACTTTTACAGAAAAAGTAAAACTGCAATCATCTGATCAGCCCACCAAGTACTTACAAACACACACATGCTGTCTAGACACATTCTTTTAAATTTTTGCCTTTCCCACTGATCCAGCACAAACAGGAAAAAGGAAAATACATCTAGAGGTGCACTGGGTAAAATCAGCCTGAATAAGAGAAGCCAGTCAAAAATAACGTATAGCTTGTCTAACATCAGTAACTAAATACGGCTCAAATTTTAAAAGTGCATCATGTTCTATCTTAATTCTATTTGTTTTTGTTGTGCGTAGAGTGTTTCCTCTCTAAATCTCTTTCCCGTCCCAGCCCTCAGGTTACAGTGGAAGCAGAGCAGTTGGCTAACTGAGCTTCTGAGACGTCAGTTTATCAGTGGTATGAGAGAGCTCTGGAAGCACTGGCTGAACTCTGTTATTAAATGACTGGCCGGTGTATGTATCAGTGCTATCAACGCTATTTCAATTGTAGCTTTGGTGCTACAGAAGTTAAATACCCGCTACATTTAACACAGTCGCAATGACAAATAGAAACAACACTTGCTATCAGTGGGACATTGCTGTGGGAGTCTGGTAGCTGAGATCAAGACTATCAAGTTCATGCTAAAGTTAACAGCAGATATCCACTGGACTAGCTAGGGGATAAGTGTTCACATTTTCCCAATTGTCCCACTATTAAAACCAAAATTTTAATACTAGACATACTTCTCTAACTTCTAGACAACAGCTGTGATGAATTTTTAAAATGTATTGGAAAAAAAGACGTCCACCTTGTTGGAACACCGTGGCCCTTTGTCCTGATGCCTCTCTCATAAATTATGGACAAACAGGGATAAAAGCAAGCAGACACATTGCATCTTTAGAGCACAGCTAGAATAGTAATTACATTTTATGATCAAGAAAAGAAGACCTCCAGGGGAGGGCGGCGCTCACTCCCAGACTCACCAAGACAGATGTATTAAGACAGATAATTACAGAACCAGATCAACAATATCAGTTAGACAGGACTGAGAGAGGAAGTGTTCTTAGCCTGCAAACTTAGAAACAACGTACTAGAGATGTTTTTGACATGTTAAGTCAGGTGCATGGCAGCAGTCAGGGAACTCCCGACCTGCTCTATTCCCTATTGAGTGCACTGCTGCTGTAGGGTTTCCAGGAACACATTAACTGTCTGCATAGAGCACCAACATCCTCTTCTAATAGCATTGTGGTCATGGCCCTCTGGTACCAGCAATCACCTGACACACTCTCCGTCTGCACTGAAACACCCTAAAAGTGATTACCTTAATGTCTATGGAGCTAAATGAATAATAATCCTGCTGAGCATCTTTCTTTAGCGGTATCGTGTTGAGCTAAAGTCCAACCTGGATTTAAATCTGTCCTTTCCAAAGTGAGGAGAAATAGGTTTCTTTCTACCAAATTTCCAGGATGCCTCTAGATGGGCATGTGATAAGTAACCTTACTGTTTTTGGTTACTTATCACATCCACCTCTGTTCAAAAATCCTGACAAAAGCATCAATTTTGGAACCTTTTATATGTTTTTGTTTATACAGCCAATAAAACACGTATTCATTTTATGTTACACAGTCTGGTAGTAAAAAGCTCTGCAGGTACATGCTGTACTAATCTGTACAAGAGACTATTCACACTGTGGGACTCTGGGACAGCCATGGGCCGTCCGTCAGTGTGTCTGTCTGTCAGCAGTGGTGGCTGATTACACCAGGTCTCACTGCCACTAATCTGAGATTATCTTAAACAAACACCACAACAACCTGAAAATGGACACTGCGACACTGATTGTGATGTCCCCCTCCCACACTCACATGTACTCACAGATTTTAATAGCTTGTTTTATAGCATCTGTGCTTCATTAGATAGTAAACACTTCAATGTACCTACAACATTACAACCATATAGGATTTCCCTTTGCTTGAAAAAAGGACATTAATAAAAACATGACAAAAGGAGTCAAACTGTATTAACATCCACTAGACCAGTTATTAAATGAAACTGACGGTATAAAGATAAGTCTTAACATATTCTATATTTTTCTTAATATCATCAAATTCCATGAAAAAATCAAAACCAACAATCAATTCTACTAGCAAGGATTGTTTGAGTAGTTTCAGCATGATATATCTTATTTTCTCAGCCAATGACCTGCATTATTACCCAAAAACTATTAAAATATATCAAGTAGCTACATGGTCACACTGGGTGATATGTTCCTTGTCAAGCATATATTTATGCTTAGTAAAGACTGGGCCTGACTCAAAAGTCACAGACAGTGTGAGGAAGACTAACACGTACTTGGCTTAGTTCTTTTGTACATGAAGAGTTGCTGGAGGCCTTTTGACCAATTAGAGACTTTCTTGTTAACCAATCAGAAACCACAGAGGTGATCAGTGTGAGCGAGAGGTCTGTTATCAAGCAAAAGAAGTGGAGGAGACACAAGCGCAAGAAAACTGAAAGAGACCGAGGGTTAATTTGCTCGCTAATGGCATGTGGCAGCTGCATTTTGCAGAAAGGTTAGAACAAATAAATTTGAAAAGTGCCTCTAATGGTTTCAATTATACAGTACTGGCATACATATTCTAACTTCTCACCTTCTGAAAATGACGTGTGTTTACTAAGGTGTTAATTTATAATAAGAACCTTTTAGCTAATAGCATGAAGCCAAAATAAAACTCTCCAGCGCACATACAAACACATTCACAAAAACCAACTCCTGTGTGGATAGTAGATGAAATGGAAAAGCAGAAAAGTGAGAAAATAGATGCTAAGAAAAAAAATTCAATGACTAATTACTACACTTACCATCAGCTACTCTTTAAAGCTGGAATGATCCCAGACATGACCAAGATCATTTTTGGCTGTTCTTAAATGAAAAAGCACGTACAGAGACACACAATCATACACGGTCTCGCACAAAAATATTTCCCTCTTCAGAAAGAATGATGGTGTCAAAATGACTCTTGAGCCTAA